GGGAAAGAGCGCAACAACACGTGAAGATATACAAGATGGATAAAGTGCAGTAGTAGAATGCAAAGAAATGTTAGAAAGGGAAAGAATATGGCGGCAAAATGTGTAGAGAGGGAAAGAACATGACAATGAAACAATTGTTAACATAAAAAATAAACTTTTTATGCTAATTATATTTTTTTTCTATATCACCGAGATCTCTGATGAACTTAAATTTGATATGAAAAATCTATTTTACCTGCCATTAAAAGTTTCATGCACATTAGTGTATATTGAGCTTGATTAAACACATGAGTAGGGTTATACATGATAATAAACGATTGAAATGACTTAGGTGGAATACACAAAAAAAAATGGATAAAACCAATTTTATCTTGTGGATATCTAGTATTACATCTATCTATAACATATAATAAAAGGAATTATCCCATTTGGTGTAGATATTTTTTTAGATAATTTTACCCTTAAGTTTTTAAATAATAAAAAATAATATTAAAAATTAATCATTCTTGTAAAAATAACACTTGAGTTCAATAAATTTAAATTTAAAGACCGAATGCAATATCAATTGATCTATCAAATTTTGATAATTTTCAAACATTTTTATTAATAAAATATAGAAATAAAATATATTGATCTCATTAGTACTTATAATAAAAGAAATTTCATAATTTGATATCCACTTTAATCTTTAATAATTATATAACCTCTAATAATCCTACAAACTACCATAATAAATTTGTAATTCTTTTTTCGGTTAAAACCCTAATTTGGTTCCTTATAATATTTGTTTGTTTCAATTTAGTTTTTTTTGCTTCAATTTGGTCCCCAATAATTTAAATTATTGCAATGTCGGACTTCCGTCTAAATTATTTAGACGGAGTTAACTGTTGGCCACGTGAATGCCACATGGATGCACACGTGGATGCCAAATTTTTTTAATGCATCTAGAGCCAGAACGAACCGTTCTAAAACCAGAACGGCCAGTTCTGGTTGCACACTTGGTGTGTTAATTTTACACCTGGAACGGGCTGTTCCGGACGCAAAATTAACATATCAAGAGTGAAACCAGAATGGGTCGTTCTGGTTTCAGAACAGACCGTTCTGGTTCCAAAATCTCAAACACAAACTCGATGATTATAGTCAGTGATGGATCTAGAAATTTTAGATTGTGGGGGCATTACTTAATTATATATTTGTAATATTAAAAATTTTACATATAATTTTTAAAAGTATAAATATATATTATAGTTATTTTTTACAAGTTTTTATATCTACAATTACGATTAAGGATGAAAATAAACTAGGTCAGATTATGTTATATTACAATTTAACAGAATTAAACCTAATTTTTATTAAAAATACATGTTATTAATATGATATATTTATCTGTCATAGACATTTTTTAAAATGTTTTGTTAAAACTACAATCTTAAAAACCTACTTAATAATAATTTAACACTAATAAAAACATAAAAATAAATATGTTAAATCTTATAAAAATTAAGTTTAATTTATTTATCATATAAAGATGTTTTTTATATGTGATATAAATTTTTACAATTTTGATTTTTTTATCAACATATACAATAAATAAAAAGCACAAAAGTTTGACAAATATGAGATAAATGAATAATTCTTCGAAATTTATATTTTATACATATGATAATTTAAATATATATATATATATATATATTAGAATATAATTTTTATTTTTTAAAATATATTATTTTTTAGATAAAAAAATTATGTATGCGTAAATGGTTTATTTTTGATCTTTGAATCACATTGTGTATTGGTTGGCGTTCTGGAACAGCCCGTTCTGAATCTGGAACGACCCGTTTTGGAAACCAGAACGGCCCGTTCTGATTTCAGAATGACCCGTTCTAGTTCTAGATACATGAAAAAATTAAGTATCCACGTATGCATCCACGTGGCACCCACGTGGCCAATAGTTAACTCGTCCGACATTGCAATAATTTAAATTATTGGAGACCAAATTAAAACAAAAAATTAAAGTGAGACTAAATTGAAACAAACAAATATTATAAGGGACTAAATTAGAATTTTAACCTTTTTTTTATTAAAAGAAGTACGTAGTAGCTTTTTTTTTTCCCACCAGTGTATAATAACCACTACAGATCAAATATTTACAATATTGAAATGATCTGTCTAATATCAATTAGAGCTGTCAAAATGGGTAACCCGGCCCGGCCCGGCCCGGCCCACCACGGGTTGATCATTTGGTGAGCTAACCCAACCCGGCTCATTTATTAGTGAGCTAAAAAATTTTGGACCCGGCCCGGCCCACCACGGGTTGGTGGGTTAAACGGGTTGGCTCACCAAATTTAAAAAAAAATGTAATATGCCGGGGTGGTGCGCTGCGCGGTAGTGCAAGACTGTGAGTGTCCCAGGGTGATGCGTGGCACAAGCAGTCGTGCCAGGACAGCGATGGTGGGTGGCCCCCAAACGATGTGCACGGTGCGAGGTGGCCCGGGGTGGTGACGTGCGCGGTGGCTTGCGGTGGGCGCGATGGTGCGCGCGATGGCTCGCGGTGTGCGCGGTGGCTCACGATGCACGCAGTGGCTCACAACGCACGCGATGGTGCTTGATAGTTGTGGTGCGACGCGTCGTAGTTGTGGTTCGGTGGCAACTGTGGTGCGGTGTGGTGTGAGAGGGTGGCTGGAGCTGGCTGCGTTGCGGCAGTGACTGGTGCGGCGTTGATATTGTTCTGAAGTTGAAAGTTAAGGTTTAGGGTTTTGAAATTGAAACCCTATTTCTTGTTGGGCTGCACCTACATTTGGCCCAATAGTTGCTTCTCTTTTTTTTTTTTAATTACCTACATTTTGGCCCAATAATTGCTTCTTTTTTTTTTAATTACGGGTTGGTGAGTCAGCCCGGCTCACCACGGGTTCAACCCGGGTGAGCCGGGTTGTTAGTGAGCCGGGTTCAAAATTGGTCCGCACTAAAATTTTCAATTTTTTTTTAGCCCAACCCGGCTCGAACCCGTGGTGGACCGGGTTGGCTCACCGGGTTGAGCCCATTTTGACAGCTCTAATATCAACACGTACATACAGTATTTTGATTTGAAGTATTAATTGCAAGTAAAATGCAAATGGAATGTTATATATAGTAATCAACATTCAAATTAAAGAAACTAGCAGTTAACCTGTAATGGATGAAACATATATAATTCAATATTTTTTCTTAAAGCAAAAATGAGGTTTATTACTTACACAATATAATGCGTACGTTCTAGAGCGGTGTTGTGAGTTTTCGGACTGTGAGTGACCATGTTTAAAAAAAAAACCAAAGAATACAATCCAAGGAATTGATACACCATATTCAGCCAACAAACACTAGCTTTATTAGATATAGCCAAGAATCATCCAAATATACAATTCAAATGGAAGGGGAAAATTATTATTAAGGAAACAAATATAAAAAGAAAAGGCGAGGCACATATGCAACAGCTATGGAGGGATATACACTTGAAATGGGCATCCTCATGCACGTGCAGGTATGGATGTAGAAAGTGTCATAGACAAAAACAGAAGAACAATTTCCAGGTAATTTTAATTTTCCCCTTAAACAATGAAAGGAAAAAAGAGAAGTGAACACATTAGGTATAGTAACAAAAATCAATGTTGAATTTTTCTGTCGCAAGCAGCTGCTAATTAATTAACAAAGCTGCAATGTGTCCTGATCTCACCATCGGAGCCAGTGAGCACTTCAATGGAACCCATGCGCACCATTGCTAGGGCAAACTTCTGAGCCCAAGTTGCACCATTGTACGCATTGTTTTGAACCATTACCTTGGTGGAGTGGCTGGTGTACAACGTTTGATCCGATGTCAACAAGCCACGGTGGTTCATCAACCCCTCATAGTATTTGTTGTCCAGCCGAATCGGCGTGGAAGGGTCAAGAGCCACTATTGGGTCCGACGTGGGGGGTGGTGCAGGACACGTGGCTTTCAACGTTGCAGCATATGAAGCATCCATGGAAGGGTCTTGTTGGAACGTGTGGTTGAAGGAGTACAAGCGGTTTGAGAAGGAAGAGCAACGCGACACACCAATTGAATGCGCTCCTGAAAGCGTCACCATTTCATCTGCTGACAAACCCTTTTAGGAGAAATTACTAACGAGTTCATCGGCACTGGAGCGTGTGGTTGAAGGAGTACAAGCGGTTTGAGAAGGAAGAGCAACGCGACACACCAATTGAATGCGCTCCTGAAAGCGTCACCATTTCATCTGCTGACAAACCCTTTTTGGAGAAATTACTAACGAGTTCATCGGCACTGGAGCGTGGTCCAGGAAGATGCTGTATCACTTCGTCACCGATTGAGACACGACCGTCTCTGCGTCCTGATGGGACTTCGTAGTTTGTGCCACCAACTTTCACCACACTGTCTCGTGCTGCGAAGGCCAATATGTCTGCACACGACACCGTTTGAGGACATGCAGCTTCTATTTGGGTCTTGGCATCCTCAATCACCTCGAAGCCGCGTAGGCTTGGGTTGTTGACGAAGTGGTCTCTCTCAGCTATTGGGTTTCCTGGCGTGGATGCTAGTAGCACTGAACCATCACAACCCTGAGAGGGAGGACAGACCAATTTTAGAATCACAAAATTTAAATATTTTTAATCAACTTGCACAAGAAAATGGCCTTGAACCACTAGAGTCTAGTGAGAAGTTTGGAATAGTATGCAATGAATTTTAAGTTTGAGATCTAGTTTATCAATGTAACTTCAATAGATAAAAAGAGAGAAGAAAATGGACTTGTTCTCACTAATACAACAAAATCGAATTTTAAAGTAAAAATTTTCTTTTTCTAATAACATTTATTAGAAATCTTTTTTTTTGTGTTGTTTCAACTTTTTTTTTTATCTAATAACAATTACTAGAATAGGTTGACATCTTTTTAAAAAATTGAGTTTAACATCTACCTTAACATTACAAAATTCATTGATTTATAAAATGAGAATTAATTATCTTTTATTTATATTTATATATATAATTCAAAATTAGAAAATTAAAATGTTTTAATTTACATGTATATTAAGAAAATGAGTGGTTTTAATTAATCTTATAAAATCGATTAGCAAAATGAAAATTATCTTTTTTTTATAAGTCTAACAACATATGATAAAATAAGTCAATATAATTTTAAAATAAAAAATTTGAAATCTAACTTAATTAATATTACTAACTTTTAAAAAAAGAATTGTCCCTAATTTATATGTACAGATTTGATCTTATCATTAATAGAATTGGGATTTCAAATATATATATGTATGAAGAGGTGAACTTAATTACCCTGACAAAGCAATCATGGAAATGCATTCTAATGAGACCAGCAGCTACGCCTGGGTTATCAGAAACTGCTTTGTTCACTGTGTTTCTCACTATTGTCTCAGCAGATGGACATGTGGAGCTATAGAAACCCACTTTCAGAGATGCTGAGGCCAATGCTGACATACATAGAATTAGAACCAGGCGTGAAACCATTTGAAGCATGCATGGAGGTGGAGTGTTATCCATTGGTGTTATAACTGCTATATGATGAAGCAGAACTGAATGAAAGTTGTAAGGGCAAGAGAAGGAAGAGAGTTGTGTTGTATATGTACTTATATATATACGTTGTTATGCTAACTACAAAGGAGGAGGTGGAGAGAACTTGAGCTCAAGCAAATGTATTTATAGGAATTCATTTTGAGGTTTTGCTTTGACAAACAAAACGCGTGTTGTGTACTGCAAATTAAAATACGTAGTAGTTGAAGTTGTCTGCAGTTGAACACTTCTCTTCATGCTCAACTTTATCTCTTAGGTTTACATAACGCATATTGACCACTAGCAAGAGGCCAAAGTGTGGTGACAATTGGGATCTTTTCACGCTTTGGTGGCTGCATGTGGCATTTAACATTTAACTAGTACAACTTGATCAAGTGTTGCCATTTAATTATTTACACTTAAGGTACTGACTTGGTAACCCCTAATGTTAGTGTGAACCGAGTTAGAATGCACGCGAAGAAAACAAAACAGGTTTTCGTGTGGACCAAAATAGATTATATTAAAATGATGGGACATTTTCGGTTATCAAATTAAGGTGGAAGCTTTCATTGTGAAGGGGAATTATGGAAGCGTCCTTATTACAATTGATTGATATATTTCTTGTAAACCAATAATTGGGAAGTGTTCAAAGTAACGAAGAGGGGCCCAGTACAAGACCTTTTCTGTTTTCAGATTCATCACCATCATCGTTTTTAAGTATAAACTTGTATATGGGATAATGGTCACTGTTCAATTTCAACGCCACCATCGTAATGATATTATTTGTTTGCGTCCTATTATAAATTATTGAAACAAGTAGAATATTTGGAAGAAATCAAATCTTGCATTCAATCTAGCCTCAAATCATATTATACGAAACTTATGCTAAATCTGAAGTACGTGAATAAAATATTTAAGACTTTTGGAACAAATCAATTAGCAGACTTGCATCCAATCTAGCTGGCTAGCCTCAAATCTTATTATATATACTATACCGTAGAGTGTGTGACTCAAGCATGAGTTTTTCATGATATCTCGAGTTCAAATCTAAATATATAATTATGATAAATGTTTAGAAGGAAAAAATTATTTGATCCTTTCGTTCTCAAACAAAATCACTTTTAGTAATATATATATATATATAATATGAAAAAAAAATCATATTATATACTAATCTTATATCAAAATAAAGTGGAAAAACAAACTTTAAAAAGGAACAATAACTAGCATATCCTTGGGTTTTTTTTGTCAAAGTATATAAAAAATTTAAATATTAGAAAAAAAAATTTAAATAATTATTTACCAAAATAAATTACTTTTGTCGGGGTAAGTATTAATATGTCACATGGTACCACTTTATTGTAATTTCACTAAAAAAACAAAACCAAAGAAGATGCAGAGGAGGTCCCATATATATTTAATTAAAATTTATGAAAAACTACAAATTAGAAGAGAGATAAAGTGATTATACTAAATTTTGTATTTTTCAAAAAAAAAAAACCTTTTGACTAATTAGTAAATATATATTTAAAAAAGCGTGTTAGAAATTCATTTCTTTTATATATTTTCAGAATGAATATTTCCGAACACATTTTTATTCTAGGTTAGGAATTCCAAAACACCATTCCTAGACAATGTTTTTGTAGAACAACGTATGTTTGAGATTGGATGTTCCGAAAAAACTTATAGAAAGGACAAGACAGGTGCAGTTAGAAAATCCCCGCAACACTTGATGTGACGACACGTTGGATGGGCTTTAGAGGCCCAATGCTGTTACGAGAAAAGAACAATGAACATGCCTTTGCTTTACTACATTGATTACGCCGCCACGAAGAACCGTTTGTTTGGAATCGCGTTCAGCTTCTTACTCTCACTCTCACTTTACTACATAGTAAGAGAATGAGAGTCATGGCCGCGTCCTCTTTCAGTAGAAACTTAGCGAGACATGTTTCGTCACTTCATCGCTTCAGACACTTTTCCTCTTCCTCATCTCCTAAACTTCCTCGCTCTTCCAACAAAGTTCGCTTTTTCTTCTCTTCTCTCAAACCATTGGACCAATCACATTGCATTTTTAATTTTCATTCTTCTTATTTATCTTTCATGTCATGTGTTAAATTGAAAACTTTTTTTGTAGCGTTATTTTTATTTAATTATTGATTATGTCTTTCTGATTCATAGGCGCTTACTTTGAATTGCAGGGAAGGTGGTTGACAGGAGCTGCCGTAGGCATTGCTGTAGCTGGTGGAGCTTATGTGAGTACTGTCGATGAAGCTACTTTCTGGTACTTCATTTCCATGTTTCAGTGTCTTTTTTTTTTTTCATCACTTTTTTGTATCTATTGAAGTTTGCTTTTCTAATCTTGGCTTAAGGTTATTCATGTTTTAGAAGTATATATAATGTTCATCTAGGTTTGTTTGAAGTCAGCAAACATGTTCTGAGAATCAACTTGGAAAATTTGATAGATTGTTTGTTAGATATTACAAAGGCCTTGAAGTGTAGACATTTGAACAGATACACCTTACCTTGAGCTGAAGAATGGGCGCAATTGGATCAAACTGTAAACTACTAGTACTTGGTCATGGGGACTTCGAAATCATGCCATCAATCAACTATCCCAAAAGCCTAATAATGATGATTATAGGAGATCGGTTAAACAATCAAGGCATAATCAGTTGAATGTGATTGATACTAATATTAGGATTTTTTTTTTTTTTTTTTTTTTTTAGTATTCCTATAAATTAGATATGGTTGCTTCCTTTCTTATTAGTTTATGTTGCAAATCCCACATCAAGTAGTTATAATGCTATAATAGTGTATATAAATGAGGATCAGTCTTTACCTTGCAAATTAATTTTATAAGGTTGAGTTAGGTTCTTAACTCACTTTCTTCCAATGCTATTAGGACTTATATCCTAGGGATTATTGATTGGCGTTGGACTTGTTGTGTTATCTTCCATCTAGCCGCTATGAGACCACCTACAAATTTTCAGTCTTGCAAACTTCACGCTTGAAACGTCTCGTCCTTTGTGTGAACAAGTTTGTTGGAGATCCAATGTTGACTAGTAATAAGTTATAATGGTGTATATAAGTATAGAGTAATCCTTACCTTACAAGTCGATATATAAGATTCATAATCCACTTTCTTAAAAGGTTAAATAAATATAAAATAAAATCAGTTCTGATTTTGTTGTATCGGATTTTGGTCCTAAATTTGTGAATGGAGGTGTTATACTCATATATATTTTGCAATTCTACTGCAATATGACATGGAGAGTTTCATTCTCTCATTTTTATGAACCTTTTGAAATGCATACCTCAGAAATGAATGGTCCTGATTTCAAGTTATCCTCGTTCCAGTGGATGGTTATTCTCAGCAACAAAACTTGTCAATCCTATTTTTGCTCTATTGGATCCAGAGGTTGCGCATAGACTAGGTCTCTCAGCTGCAGCTCATGGTTGGTTTCCAAGGGAGAAGAGGCCCGATCCATCAAGCATAGGCCTTGAAGTCTGGGGAAGAAAGTTCTCCAATCCATTGGGTCTTGCTGCAGGCTTTGATAAAAATGCTGAGGCTGTAGATGGGTTACTTGGTTTGGGATTTGGATTTGTTGAGGTTGGCTCTGTTACACCTTTTCCCCAAGATGGCAATCCAAAGCCTCGCATCTTTAGGTTGCGAGAGGAAGGGTAAGAGTTTGTATTTTGGTTCTTTTTCTCTTACTGATTAATATTTTATGCCCTTTTTATCATTTCACCTTTGGTATCACTTAGCATTGCAAAATGAGCTGGAGATATGAAAATTGTTAATTCTGATGACATGAACTTCTTTAAGGTTGCTTATGTTGTCCTTTCTGTGAGACTGATTAATTTAATGTGCAGTGCTGTTATAAATAGATGTGGCTTTAATGGTGAGGGAATTGTTGCTGTAGCAAAGAGGCTGGGTGCTCAGCATGGTAAGAGAAAATTAGATGAAACTTCAAGCACTTCAACTTCTTCCAATGATGAAGTGAAAAATGGTGGAAAATCTGGCATTGGCATCCTTGGTGTAAATCTTGGAAAGAACAAGACAAGTGAAGATGCTGCAGCAGACTATGTTCAAGGAGTTCATTCATTGTCCCAGTATGCTGATTACTTGGTAAACTTTTCTTGCATACTTTTTACTTGAAAATAAAAATGATAAATAGAAAACCTAATTGTCGCAGTCCTCTTTTGACATGATAGTGTACAGGTGATCAATAAAATTACAAAAGTTTTAATGTCTAACATGGTAGGTGTCTTCATGGGGTTAGACAGGTGCAGTCCATGTAGTTAGTAACTTTTCTTTGTTTTGAAATGTGAATTAATTATTATTTAAACAAAGAAGGCTTTTGTTGTATTGTATTTTAAACAAGAAAAAGCAGATAATAAAGAAAGAAGGAAAAAAATAAAATGCTAAATCAGGAATTGATGATAAGGATTCTTCATGGTAGAAGGACAGAAAGATAAAAATCTTGGTGAATGAAACATGTGTACATTAGTCAAAAATTGCAAGGAATTATTTGAAATTTCCTTAAGTGATAATATGAACATATGTTTAATGCCCAAAATAATAGTAAGTGATTAAGTTTATAAACTTATATGAAACAACTGGAAATTGCAAAGACCTATTTAGAATTTCCTTAGTTTCAGGACTAATATGACAATACATTACACTTTTAGTCACCAAAATGATGGCTTACTGATTCTGCATATCATCTATATATGTACTATCTTTATAAACTTACTGATTCTATTCTCATGGATATATATAATATCGATGATTACTAAATGCAGTTTGTTATGTGATACATGAGCATACTGTTTTCTAAATGCATTAACTATAATATTTCCAACAAAATAAAAGGTGAAGCAAAACTTCCTGATATCTAATAAAGTCAGAAAGGCATCCCCTTAGAACCATTGGTGGAGCACCATAGAGAGGTCATGAGCTTTTTATGGTCACTTGTTTTTAGCAATAGAAATGTGGTCTGCAAACTTGAAGCACTTCGGATAAGTTGGAGGTTTTGCTTTTGGTTAAAATACTATTTAACCAACATCTTTTTTTATCCCTTTACAGGTTATTAATGTTTCATCACCCAATACCCCTGGCTTGCGGACACTTCAAGGAAGAAAGCAATTGCAGGATCTTGTGAGTAAGGTAGAAACTAAAATGTGAAACTTTCTCCACGTGTTTCATATCTTGCATTTTTGAGAGACTGACTTTAGTAAAATTTTCTTCTTCCTTAAGGTTCAAGCTGCACGTGATGAAATGAAATGGGGTGAGGATGGCCCACCTCCATTGCTTGTAAAAATTGCTCCAGATTTATCAAAAGACGACCTTGAAGATATTGCAGCAGTAAGTATATCCATACTAAGATACTTTTTTCAATTTTCTTCACCTCACAATCTGTATAACAATCTTCCTCTGATGATAGGTTGCCTTGAATCTTCACTTGGATGGACTGGTACTTCCCATTCTCTCTGCTCTATCACTAATTTGGACTTTGTTCATATTCACATTGATGTGCTGTCTATGTTTGTTGCCTTATTTATTCATTGACCAGCCTTATTTGGGGAGACAGTGTAAAAGAAGACACCTAAATGGGACAGAAAATCCCCAACCTTGACACTCAAAAATTGTTTGATAAGCACATAAAAGAAAGAGACGATAGAAGGACAATAACAAATACTGTTTCACATTTTCACTAGTGATGAGAACTGGCTATCAAGTTTATTTTCCTGTCATGCCTGTTCTGCTGTAGAGTCCATTCATGATACAGAAACCATAGAAGAACACTGTGTAATATTCATTTTATTTTTGTTAGAATAGTGGATTAAGCCTAACTCAACCTGCCGGCATGGCGGAGAAGTCGAACCCCGGTGCGAGAAGCCTAGCTTGACAAGCTGCCTTGAGGAACCCCCTCTTGTGCTCGAACACGACGACCCTCTCAGTCTCCTCGAGTTTCCTTTCCAGCCCCGCCTTTGCCTCCTCCAGCCTCGTAAGGTCCACCTTCAGGGCAACATTCTCCTTTGCTTGGCCGCCGAGAAGCACTTCGTCACAAAGACG